CTCCCGCCGAGTCGATTGCCACGAAACAAGGACTGAGACCGGCAGACGTGTACCGAGAAAGCTTTGAAAGCTGTTTCTCCTCCTCCTCCTTCTCCTCCACCTCCACCTCCCTCTCTCTTTCTCTCGATTACCGAGCGCAGATTAATCTGATGTTGACGGTGGATCCCGGACTTCGTGATCTATATTTCGCTTGAGGTTTTCGAGGAATTCGCGGAACGATCTCAATGCGAAAGCGAAGCAGGCGAAAGTAGGACGGAATATAGGAAACAGCGATAATGTTGAGTTGATGTGCATATTTCATAGTTTATGTTATCTGCGAAATGGGGATGGAAGACAAAGCGATAGTGATTCTTTATCTTATTTTTAAATGAGAAGTTAATATAAAAAAAGCTTTTTCAGATTTCCTTTTGTTCAAGATTTCCTCAAATTAGACGTTGATACAAACGATTATATTTGACAGACAAAAGTCTTATTAAATAATTTGTTTTCTTATTTTTACTCAAGAAGTAATGTGTAATACATGATTTAACAAATTATTTAATTATTTTAAGTATAGCGTAGAAAATTAAATGTTTTCCTTTTCTCAGTAAAAAAACTTGAAAAACAAAATTTAATTTCGGAAGTTACAAATCAAATTTGTACATATAAATAACTTAATACTAATGTCTTTAAGTATGTTGTGTATACTTTATGAAATTAATTAATTTTCTCTTGTGTGACATTTATTAAAATTTTCTGTTTGATATTATATACATCGCAATTATCTATTGCAGAGATACATAAAAAATATTAATAATCCATCAATTAATTTATACAATAATTTTATTAATAATAAAATTAAAGTAAAAGAGAAGAGAAAGAATATTTTCAAAGTATTATTATACTTTTTTAAAGTCAAATAAACGAGTAAAGTATAAGCGAACTACCCTTAAGAGAGCCTTTGTGCGAGCAACCCGGTATACAAGAGCATCCCGTTTAGATGCAGCATGATTGTCCTCACCTGAGATTTCGTTTGCATCGTTACAGTTTCACGCTAGATGGCACAATTGATTCCTTATTAATCAGTTACACGATTTTCAACGACGGCTGAAATAGCGACGGTATAAATAAACAGTTAATGAATACGTGGGTGGTCACATTTATATTTTCTGTCCATTTTATTTTTATCGCGAATTTTTTATAAATTTTAAATCAAGAGACCAACCAAAAAAACTGCAGATCACACTGCGTAGATTTATTATGTTAGGACATTTAAATTATATTTATGTGGTAGTGACAAATAAAAAATGCCCGAATACTTCTTCTAATTTTAAGCACGATGAGACGAATTTATTTTAATCGAGCTTTAAACTGTTGCGAAACACATTATGCAATGCAATTGGAGGCAAATGATAGTGATTCGGGACGAGTTAAACAATTTATGTAACGAGCTTTCTACGCGCATGTTGAACAGAGACGTATCAGAAACCAATGTCGCGTGGACACCTGCGAGTGTTTCGTTTTCCGAAAAATCAATCTTCACGGCTATTTATAAAATATATATCTAGTAAATTACAAATAATTTCACGAATATAAATACAAATTCACATAATGTCATTGTGCACGTGGAAAATTTCGACTTTTCTAGGAAATTAAAAATTTATAATTATAAATATATTGTAATTGATAAAACTGTTATTTAAATTGACAAAAATATGCACAGTTACTATTTAGTCTTACTGCTGAAGAATTATAATATCGAAAAGTAAAAAGTTAATAATTAAAGTCAAATATGTCTAATTTATCTTTTATTTTAAAATCTAAAACGTAGAGAATTTGAACATAAGAATATATATATAATTACAAAAAGTGAAAACGATATATAAAATTCGTTAATTGATATCGAGGATCGGAAGGATAGGTGCAAGAGAATAAGAATAAAAGGAACTCGAATAGTGTAGGTTATTTAAAAACAATGTCGTTTATTTGAATCGCACAAGACATACACCGTATCTGCTATGTTTACAATTAGGGACCTCTGCGAGGTAAAGCTCGGCCAACGTTTGTCGCAAGCCTCGGCCGAAGTTTACTCGGAGATGCCTCGGGTTTCTTTTTTTTTTCGTATTGCCTTAATGTCGATCCTCGGTTAAAAGTGTTCAATGCCAGGTTTAACCCGGTCACGTACTGTCCTTAGAAACCGAGCTTCGGATTATTTACCCTGGATCAGAAGATTTCCTAAAAGTCCAATTTCCCTGCTACGATATTATCGTTCCCTCTTGCATCTCTTTCTCCCGTAATCGACTCTATGGAAAAAAATTCTTTCGTTCGCTCTCTCTCTCTCTTTCTCTCTCTCTCTCTCTCTCTCCCCCTTATTATAATTATAGGAAATACTTCGTAGCTTTAAATTATACCGACTGCCTAGATACTTCGCTCGACTATACTCCTGACGTTCATTCTGGGATTATCTTTTAGCATTTTACGTGATTTACCCTGTAGAAACGTTAGAAACCAACCGGAGGACACGACGGGACAGTCGGATTAATTTATTATTTAATTATTAATACGTCAATTAATCGAGATAATGAGGAGTCGGTGCAATATCATATATTTTAGATTACACATTAAACGCTGATGTTCCGCGACTGGTGCGAACCGAGCAGGAGTTGCCAGTGGCAATCTCCATATCGGATTCGCATTACGACTTATCATGACTGCAGCGCTTACCGTGTAACTCTCTAACGTGAGGACATTCTTCCGTGTCGCATAAATTCGTTATTGTCCTCGTCGCATCCCACCGGTCCGATCGCCCGCCGCGAGATTTGCATGTTTGACACGTGTCACTCCTTTGTTTCGGTGAGGCAGGGAATTTGGTCCTATGGTGGGATAAACTTGAATAAGAAAACTAAGAAGAGAAGGAGGAAGAACTTTTCGAAATCAAAGTACGCGTATTCGTGTATGGTACGTGACGTGCCGCAGGATTTTTATTTCGTCGATTACACACACGGTGCTCCGTCAAAATTTTCTCTCTCTCTCTCTCTCTCTCTCTCACACCCACACACACTTTTTCTCTCTCTCTCTCTCTCTCTTTCTCTCTCCATTCATTCCGCGAATTCTCGAAGGGGATTGTCGTCCCCCATATCTCCATCGTTATTTTAGATCCAATCTCCGTTCACAATCGTTGTGAGCGACAAAATACGCCGTTGCACGAGAAAAGGAAAAAAAATCACCGTTTAAACTTATCTTTTTTTTTCCTTGCTTGATCCTTTAATAACTTTTCGACGACGCGGCTCTTTCTGCTTCCGAATCATCGCTACGGGCAGTGCCATTATTTACAGTATGTCGTATAAACGCGGAGCCTGGCATGTACGTATTTCAGGAATCGATCTAACAAACTTTTAACTAGATAACGAGAGGTTTTTTTTTATCTAGGGCCGTACACGTCTAACACCGAGAGAACTATCTGATATGAGTTTTTAATCGCTTTTATTTTCGCGTTCTCGCCATCGAACTCACGCACACGCGCATAACATTCATCCCCGGAACGAGAAGGATAACACGCACAATAAAATCACATAAAGACACGCAATCGACATTCTCGCACTCCTTCGCCGTCTCTCACGCATCGCGAAGTTATTTTCGTTTTTATCTTATTGCCTACGTATATATATATATCTCTCTCTTTAGGAACAGTTCTCTTCGAAAACGTTTACGTCGACGAGGCGTCGTTGAGGAAAACAAAAGGAAGGGTAGAAAGAAAAATTATTTCGCTACTTAAAATGGAACGCAAAAACTTGAAGAACAATCGTCGCGTCGCCCGAAAGCCTCAGTCTTGGACGAGGACGAGAGAAAACGGAAATTCGATTCTGATTGCGCCTCGGTGATCTGACCGTGGGACGATTTTCGCAGGATCGATGCTCAGTATCGATTCTGCGAAAGCCGAGCACGGTTCGACACCGTGACGGCAATAAATATAATCAACGAACAAAGCGCGCTGATAATGTTCTCGACGTGGCTACGAGGTGACCGTCGAAGGAGGAATTTTTCCGATTGGGATATTTTCTCCACAGGATTGTCCACAGGATCGATTAATTTATCAGCTTAGATTATTATCACGATGGTCTTCATTGAAATGCTGCGGCAATTTTTTTCAGACGATTCCTCCACCTCGACGGGCGCGTCGTACGATGCAAAATCAGCGGCTATAAACCTAAACAACTTTGGCATTATCTTAATCTTTAAAAAACATCTGCGATAATAATTTAATATTAGAATAAAATAATGAAAGCGGCGCTTAAACTTACTGCAACCGTAATGATAATAGTGACAAACGTAATAATAATAATAGAATGGTAATAATAATAATAGCAATAGTAGTAATAATAATGACAATAATAATCATGTTACAAAACAATAATAATAAAGACAATATAATAAGTGCAATAATATTAATAAAGGTAATAGAGTCGTCGATAATAGATATAATACATTGTACATAGGATCGAGCTAGAGCTTATAGATACTAGCTTCTTCTCATATATTACTTAAATCAAATATTCTCAATTATCCTATATATTGATACATATATATATAACAGTATTTCGAGTATCGATGTTTTTAAATATGTACATACAGGATCATTGAAGGTGCCAGTTTTCCTTATGTTCTAAGGAAATCGATGCATTTTAAAAAGAAGACGCGTCGGTTCCATTGACGCGTTCTTACGAAGCGACGTCGTGTAATGTACAAAAAGACTCCATTCCAATTTGTCCCTATATAATACACGGCGAGTTGCAGATTTTCATAATATTTATATATATATATATATTACGTTATACAATATGTATATATATATATAATCTATTATTAAATAAATAATCTTCAAATGCGATAATAAAGTCACGAACTATTGTTCGTTATCTTATTTATAATATTTATATTCTTTGTATTTGCATTTCTTTTTATATCTATATATATATATTTATATATATTCATTTATTCTTTTATCTGTATGTATATATATATGCAGCTTTATATTTATAGTTTATGTCTTTTCCCGTTATTTATAAACTATATTTATAGCGATATATAATTTAAATAGCTGAGTGTGTGCTGAGACTTGCAAACTGGTAACCATTCGTTCGTTTTTTTTTTTTAGTAAGTTAAAATGCGGAGCAGGGTTTCTTGTCGAGTATCTTCTTTCTTTATTCGATCGCTTTGTTCTCGCGTCATCTGGACATCATCTTCGCATCGCGTACAATCCTCGCAACCGTGTGAAGATCCTTCTTTGCTCAAATTAGTCGAAACTCCGGCTTCGCTAGATCTTCCAGCTCTTAATAATTTTTTTACAACTTGTCGACTCGATCAGCCATTTCCAGGCCGTTCGGTCGGAGATTCTCGAGATCACATCGACCTACCACCTCTCCTAATCCCGAGAGGTGACCTCGGACATTCCGCATCAAGAGATCCTTCTGAGGTCGCGCCGTCTCGATAAAATCGAACCGGCCTTGCGGGACTCAGGGTTCATCAGGTATCTCTTCTTCTCTCGAGGTCCCTGAAGAGGAAGATCTCTCGTCTTCAGTACACCGGATAAGGCGGCCTGTGCGGCCACAACGGCGGAATCGGCGGTAGGCTTCCGTTCCAGGATCAAGTATCCTTACTGCTAAGTGACGAATCCTCGTCCTTGATTACTGGGTAAGGTATGTCCAGCTTGGGGCCCTGCTGCACCACCACCACGCATTTTCTCATGTGCTTTTCCAATGTGCTCGGCACCGAGAATGGCATCTCGCAAAAACGGCATTTATACGTGTCCTTGCCGTGTCGGCCGTGGGTCTTCATGTGCCTGGTCAGTTTCGAGCTCTGGGCGCACGCGTACGAACACAGCTCACACTTGTACGGCTTCTCGCCGGTGTGCGACCGCCTATGCACCGTCAGATTCGAGCAGTTCTTGAAAACTTTACCGCAATACTCACAAGTGTCGTTTCGGCCGCTCCGCTCCTTCTTCAGCAGCGGACTTGGCAAGCCCTGAAGCGACAAGGTGGACGTCGTGGCCTTGGACGCCTTACGGAATTCATTGTTCTCCAGGTAGTGCGGACTAGGTAACCAAAGACCTGTGAAATCCGGCCCTGAAGATCTAGGAAATCCCTGGCCGGAAAAAATATTCGGCGTCGTTGAGGAATTAAAATTTGTCGGCGAGAGAGCACTTTCTTTCTCCTTGTTATTGTTCAGCGAGTTAGTGAGGTTGCACGGCGAATCGGTTTTGAGGAAGCCGCTGCGATGATTTTCCTGCAACGCTTGCCGATAAGCTTCTGAATATTGAGCGATGTTGCTCAAGCCAAACTTCTCCATGAGATCGCCCACCAGGCTGGCCGGCTTCTCCACTCGACCTCCGCTCTCCTCGCCGCTTTGCCCCTGAGTGGTGCTTAGGTCCTCCGGCGTGTTTTCCTCCGCGTCCTCCCGCTCGGCCTTCTGCTCGTTCTCCTCCATCTCGTCTAGGTCCATGTTTTCATCGCAGCTGGATCCGTCGTCCGGCACCGTTTCGACGCTGCCCTGCGGACTGGCAGCTGAATTCAAGTGCTCTTGGTGTTCCTTCCTCATGTGCTTCCTTAGCTCGGCGAAGTTCGCTACCTCAATATCGCACACCTCGCATCTCGTCGCCGTACCTTGCCCGTCCTGCGTGCTTTCTCGTTGCTGGTACTGCCTTTCCTTGTCCCGATGACTACGACGATGGACGATCAAATTCGATTGGAAGCGAAACTTTTTGTCACAAATCTCGCACGTGTACACCGTCTCAGACGAAGAATCAGTAATGATCGGCGTGGAGGCTACTGGCGGGCTGGTCTTCTCGCTGTCGGTCGAATTATTGTTGTTGTGATGACCCACCGGGCTTTGACTATAACAGGGCGGCGAGTTCTCTTTTTGATGACTGCCGTGGGTTAAATTCGCGGGGTTGGCCGAGGCCGGACTAGGCGGTTCCACAGATTGTGGATGGGGCTGTAATTGTTGTTGCTGCGACTGCTGTTGTTGTTGTTGCTGCTGCTGCTGAACACCGCTGGCGATAGGGACTGGCGGTACCGGCGGTACCGGTGGAGGAGGGGGATTCGTCGTGGGATTACCGCTAGGTGTAGGTGGAGCCGCGCCTAAGGACGGATTAGCGAGGCTCCTTAGGCGCGCTGAGTAAAAATCCAGGTTCGCTTCGAGTGGTGGTGGGTGTGCTTGGCCCGCGAGGCCGCGGCCGTGCGACAGCTCGGCCAGATTCGCCAGGTTCCGGGCGTTGTTCAGGGAATCCAATGAGCTACGTACCAGTGGATCCCCCAGATTTAAACCGTCCATACCGCGAAGCGGGTCGCCCAGGTTTTGCAGATTTCGTGTAGCCGTCTGCAGCTCCTGAAGACCTCTGTATCCCGCCAAGGGATTCAGGGTGAGGAAGTCGGGCCTGAACATAGGCGGAAAACTTCGCTCCAAGTGCTGGGGTAACCTTAGAAAACTGTGAAGGGGATCGCCCACCAGGGACGAGGTCTGAAGCTGCTGTCGGCCACCGCTACTGCCACTCGTATTCGTACCGCCGGAAGAGTTCGCCGCCGAGGAACTTCCGGTGGACTTTCCGCTCAAGTTTAGATGATTCGGCGGACTTAGATGGTGCGCGTGCGTCGGCGTAGGCGTCGGTGGACTAGGCGCCGGAGTGTTCGACGAGGAGTTCGTCGACGAGGAGGAGGAGCAGTAGAGGCGGGCGCCGTGCATGCTCTGTACATGCTGAAGGAGCTCCCACGCCGAACACAGCCGCCGAGAACACTGCGAACACTGCAGCCACCTTGGCTCTGAAACAGATTCATCGACGTCGCGATGTTAAGGGTCACATTGTCTATGCGCAGGATGAATTTTGTTTTAGCGTTTTCGAGAAAATTTAAATGTAGCGAATTCCGCAAAGTTTACGAAACATTGAAGAAGAAGATTGATGCGTTTGTCATTCACGTATAATCATGAATTTAACTTTCACACAGACAAATTAATTATCAATTTTAAGTTATTAAGATAAAACATATTGGAATTCTCATCATTCTTTCGGCTTAAACGTTTTCAACGTGTAGTCCACGGCTATTTCAGAGATTAAAGTTTATTTTTGAATGAGAAAGTGAAAGAGGGTTGTTTTGAAGCTAATATAATTCGACGGGTTATAGCTTATAGCCACGAATAAGATGATTATAAGGCTTTAAGATTATATATCTGTATATCTTTAGATATATATCGTAATAATCTGACGACAGAATTTGAAGCTTCACGGTGATTTCGCCAGCATGTGACGGCAGCTCGTAAAACCCGCACGTACACACATAACATGTGCGCGTACATGCCCCCGAGCCACACTATCAATTTTCGAACCACCCTTAATTTCGCGGAATCGGGACAGAGATCGGACCCGGCCGATTGAATTCGGAATTCAAACGGCGCGTCTGTGTCAAATTGCGGTTCGGGCCGGCGCGGCGAGTTGCGGGGGCTTAAAAATAATATCCTCGTCGAACGGCGGCCGACAGGGAGCGCGGGAGGGAATCGTTGCGGGCCAACGGGGGTCGGTTACTATGGCATGCGGCTGAAACTGACCCTTAACGACTTCTCGACCCTCCTTCCCTATGGCGCGCGCGAAAGCTTATGATGCGGGAGGGACGGGTTTTGAATTTCAATGTTTTTAATCCGGAATATCAGATTTTCGGCCATTTTTCACGCCCCGCGTGGCACAGTAGACGCCCGTCGCGCGAGTCTGTGGGATTTTATTAATTCGACGTCGCCTCGGTGGCGGGAATGAGAGACTGTTGAGAAAAGAGAGAAAAAAGCCGAGGATGCACGCACCATGTGCTTAAGGGCGACCCTCACTTTGCGAGTAAAAGCACCGTGGAACATTACCCGGGCAGCATATTCTCTTGGACCATAATGCCGGACGTTAGGGACTGAGGAGGAAGATTTAAATTTACGTCTTAAGAAACACTAAAATTTGCTTAAGATATGAATTAATTGTTTTTATAGAAGTATTCTTTTACAATATGTGTCACTTTCTTAATTCAATCATCTCATTTTTTCCAAAATACTTAGATAAAATATGTTTTTTATTTAGAAAACAATTTCTAACGCGGGCATAATCTTTTTACAGAATAAAAAACAATTCTTAAACTGTCTTAATATAAAAAAGAAACATTTTGGCTATAAAACTTTTCTCGAACGACCACGAATTTCTTTTTCTTATAATTCAGACTTGTCGAATTCGAGAACGCGAGCATCTCGCTCAGACGAATAAATACGCACGCCGCATTATTCAAGAAGAAACTTCTTAGACGAGATAAATACGAGCGCGTTGTAGCGGGCAGGGGTATACTTCCTCTTGTAAGAGATTAAAAAGTTCAGGACTCGCCCTCTCCTCCCCATTGTACCTCACTGTCTCGCGGTACTTGGACGACGGGAGGGAAAGTCAGCCGGAGACAAAAGGCTGCAGCAAAATAAAGTGGTCCTAATTAAATGGCCGTTCGGGATACGGAAAGATCTTTGTTAGAAATAAAGCTTCAAGATCGTCTTAAAGCCGAACGATCGCCGAACTGAGGCATATTTTTTGTATATTACACTTATTAAGAACATTATTATCATAAAAAATAATTATTTTTTTAACGTAGTAGATAATAATATTCATTGATTTAACCTAAATATATAGCTAGCTAGCTAATCATTTACCTGATACTACATCAATCTCAGAATTTTACTTCCTCATTTTTTTCGTACACAATTAAAATTTTACATTGACGTAAAATTACTCAGAGCAATTCGTAGAAATGTTGCTGTGAGATATCAGCCCGATGACGACGAGCAGGATGCGAAAACAATGAATCTTAAATAAAATTAGGAACAACTCAACGCCGTCAACGGGTAAATGATAGTTTATCTCGCGACAATACACAATAGAACACATTTCGTTGCATGTAACAAGGTGCTAAGTAGAATAACGAGCCCGACAGTGGGCGAGGGACTTTTCTTCCTCATCTTGCTGACCTTTCACCAGGATTACGCTTACAGCGTTTTACGCGTCGAGCGTGGAATGAGAGACGCTCGTCGCAATCTCATCTCATTGACGCGTGCGATTTTTCGATTGATAGAAAGAACGTGGAGAAAGTCACGGAGAAACAAGGCGCAAAAATTGCGAGCAAATAGGCAAGATATTGTCGGTGATTTCCTGAATTGCTAAGAAGTTTGCTCGAGGGGAAAAAGCGTGTATGAAAATATGAACTATTATAATTGTACAATCGTATTTCTGACAACTTTACTCTAACTTTACTTTCAAATTCATTTAAATTATACTTTTATAAGAGTTTCATAATTCTTTTTAATTGAAGTTCCAACTTGTCTCAATTCAATTTTTCTTGAAACGTTTTTTATACTTATTATTTAATATTTATGTGATGTTATTAATTTATGTACTTTTCTTAGACAAACAATATTTGTTGCAGGTTGTTAATATTGAATACTAACTGTTTTAGTAATTTAATCAAAAATATATTTTGTAAAAGTTAAAGTTTACAAGAATTTATACAAAATTTTATTAAAACATGAAATTTTTTGAAACTGTTTCTTTTTTTCTTTTTTGTTTTTTGTTCGTGACTGTATAATTCTCAGCACTTTAAATCAGAACCTAAAAAAACAATGAAATTTACGTAAAAATGTTAACGAAAAGACCAGCGGTTCGAATTGAACAAAATTTCTCTGCAGACTTCAAAATTTTCCGAGTCATCTTCAGCTTGATCCTTCGACAGAAGGAACGTGAAATACAAATTGGCTCACGGTTTCGGCTCCGGACAAAAATTAACGTGTGAGAGAGAGAGAAAAAATCATGCGAGGGAGAGAGAAAGAAAATCATAAAAGAGAGCGAGGATATAAGACGGCCGAGTCATTCCTGAAACAGGCGTCATAGCCAAGTGGTGAAGCGCAAAATTCGACGTATTGTTTCACGCTTCGAGCGTTCACCACGTTGCTTTCCTTTGCCCTCATCCTTTCTCCGTGCGGCTAGCTGGCTCCTTTTTTCCTTGAAAGTCGAAAATATTGCCGACTTCCCCGGGGAGGAAAGATGCCGGCGGGAAGACGAGAGAGATAAGCAAGTGCTTGAGCATAATAAAAGTGTATCGATTCACGGCCTCGCGCTTTTCATATGCAAACCTCACGGGCGGCCATCTGTTAGGATTATTTCTTCAGATTTTCACGGCCGTGTCTACGAGAAATGGTTGGCTTAGCTGGTTGCAATTCGGGGACGCGTTATCTGCGATGACTTTTTTTATCGGAGAGGTGAAGAATTCAATATATGTTGCACAATTGTATCGTCTCGACGTAATATCGCGCAGTAAATTAACGCAATATTGTAAGTTTTTTTCAAAAGAACTTTATTTATGTTGAAAACAATTGCAGTAGATGTAATGTAAATAAAAATTAAAATAGTTATTGATTCTCAATTCGATATTACATTATAGATTTAAAGAGGCTGACTATCCTTGAAAGACGCGTGAAAGTAAACAACATAATAAAATTATTGATCGATGAACACGTGCACATTAAAATTATAATTTACATACAACTCCAATATTTTTCGAAACGCATGACATGTATCCGCGTAGAGAAGTTTATAAAGATTTATACCTATAGAAGGGACAGCAGAATCAAATGAACAATATGTCTACACATGAGACTCGGCCCTCCGTCGGTAGTGACCGACCGATTTTCTCCAGAAATTGCCCGACAAATTGGCCTATGCGACGTTTACGGGCAAATCGTTCGGAACGCCATTGTTTAACAACGATTCGAGTCCCGGTCATCCTACGAATACTTCCTCTCAACTCTCAACCCTTTTACGGGAGACTTAACACGAACCCAACTGCCTCTATTCAATTTTTCTCAAAATACGTTTCCACGGGCTTTTTAAGTTTGTCTCTCTGATACTGAAATACAAATGTTTCAACAAGTAAGTTATTTCTCGCAAAATTTGCAAATGAAGGCCATCGAGTAATTTTCATGCGATTACCAATTAATTATGATTAAATACCTTAAAATAATTGAAATAAAAGTTTCAATTTTAACAAAAGTTTAAATTAAATCAATGTTATATATTTTGAACAACTCTGTAGTAATAAGAGTATAACTGTTTTGCATTATTATTGCTCGAAAAATTTACACAGGTTGAAAGGAATTATTTGCGATTACACATATAACCGTAAATGTTATGTGTATACGAGCAAATTTTAATCGTGTAAAGAACGTTGCGTCGCGCTCTCGGAAATCTTTTTGGACGGGACACATCTGCCGCTCAATGACGTCATGATATATACACATACATGCACACACAACAAACACACATAAAGGCCTTTAATCCGGAATGGCGTGTGACAATATTAAAATATCGATTAGCTAACGTATGCGACGTATGCACTTTGTCGTCGATACAAGGGCTGCACTTAAAAGGGACAACGCACAGCGGATCATGTCCACGTGGGTAGTTTGCGGGTGATTTTAATCATTTTACTGGACCCATTAATTAAATAACCAGCTGAGATAAATATCACGCAGTAACGAGAAGTATCCAACACGTATCAAAAAGAATAGTAAACAAATTGCATAATGCATATAAAAAATAGTAGACAATATATAGCGACTTTTATTAAATTAAAATGTATTAAAGAAATTGTTCAAATAAAGCAAGTTATTTTAGAAATGCGAATGGATTAAAATGATCTATTTTTTTAATAATAATTATTTAAATATATATATATATTGAGCCTGTGAAACAATTAAATACCAATAAACTCCAATTAAATGTTAATTTTAAAATTTAATTAAATGTCAATCAATATATATTGCATTGTTAAAATATAAAAAAATCGTATGATTACTACTAATATACGTTCAATATCGTGTATGCAGATTTTTTCCAGTAAATTTTTATTTACGACCCGTTCAACCTACCGCAGAGTGTCGCACGACAAAGAGCCAAAGCCGTTACAATCGCGAATATGTCGACCGGCGCGATTCCATCCTCTCTAAACGAATATTCGAATGGTCGCGTAACATACTCCTTGTGGTCACTACAATTCCGCGATAGGATTGGTCAGGCTGCGCTTCACGAGCTTTTATGTCCACCGTTACTCAGTTTGTCCGTCCAAACCGCAAACCTTGCGAATGGACCACTGCTCGCTATTAACCCTTCCAGAGAGGGCCGAGTCTTAATTTATTAAAAGAATTTATTATTTGAGTTTTTCACGACTTAACACGAAGAAAACGTGTTCCTAAAGCGAGACTACAACATCGAGAATATGAAATTAAATTTTTACATATTATAAATAAAATTAAATGTATAATTATGGGCATACTTGATCTGAAATAATTAAGTGATAAAAACGTGAAAACGCATCTTGCTATGAGAACGTTGGAAGTTTGAAAAAAATCTAGTGCTGTCTATCCTTCATCGAGATCTGCCTCTGCAGCTACTTCGATTTTCTTGTAGTGCAGTGCACCTCCGAGAGAAAGAGGAAAACGCGGATGACGGACTCGTTTTACGACACAAGGACGTAGAAAAAAAATTAATCAAAAAGCCACTCGACCTGGTAATTTAAACGCATCGCAGCGTGCTGAAGTCGTGTATATTGAACTTCTGATCTTTGTAAGCTTTGATGACGTTCTCTCTCTCACTCTCGCGGGCTTTCTTTTACACGGGAGCGCGCGAGATAAGTGCAAAGGAAACGAAGAACGCAGTCACCTCGTCATTGTCAAAGAAGAAAGAAGGTAAAACATGAACTGAAGTAGTCGAAACGGAAGTAAACTTGTCAAAGAATCTGCCTGATGATTCACGATACTGATGATACACGTTGATTATTATAATGGCACGCACTCACGTGTCGTTCTTCTCGTTATTCTATCGACGGAAAAAATATTATTCATAAAACGCGCGCGATTAAATTTTATATTATGTATATAAAATATTTAAATTGTCAAAATAAAACTAACCAAAATACATGAAATAGCGATAAAGTACGAAATAAAATACAAGCAGGCTAGTATCCGGCGATACGCGTGATATATAGCTGAAAAAGTTTCTGACGCCGGTTTTAGGCGTATCGCTCGCGCACCGTTCTTGTCGACTTCCTTCCGCGAGAACGGAGGAAACGGAAGGATGAAGGACGCGAAAGTTGCAGGATCCCGAAACCCCGAGCGACAGCCAATTCGCAAGCAATTCTCCGCTCACCTCGGGCGGTCCGGGGAGTCGTCGACTTTGCTAGGCAGGAAAGAACGGCGAGAGAAACGCGGGAGGGTCGGAAAGGAGCCATAAAGCTGCCAGAGAAAAACCTCACCCACGGACGAGAATTAATATTCCCAGACAAACGTGACAGATAGATCAAATCTGCATCTCACCGGGAGCGCTGGTTGGTGTCAATTTCGACGGATTATCGCTCCTTTTTCGTCGCCCCTCCTCTCCGTCTTTCTTCGCTACGCTACAGCCTTCCTCCGCGGACGTATATCGTCCGTCACGGTTCTCCAACGCCGTTCTCTTACGCGACGCGCGCTCTGCTTGTTCTCTATTTTCGCGTATAACCGAATTTCTCCGAAATCACAGATTTTTTAAATCAAACGTGCATCTTTCCTGAGCCCAGTTAGACGAAAATGAAAAAAGTTTTCTAGAAAGCATAATCCTACTTTTCGAAAAAATATCATATTGTATTACTATTGTTATTTCTCGATGTGTTTCATAGTCGAGAGAAAAAAAATATCAGACTCACTGGAAGGGAATTACAATATTCCGAACCGAGTACCGAGGGTCCTGGCACATCCTGTCAATGTCACCCCACGTGCGCGTTTCTGATACGCGTTGCTTTACCTGTTCGCACGTAACGCTCGAGACTCGCGATCATCTAACACCGGCGCGTCCGCCCATATGGGCACGCTCTCGCGTGGACGGCTCGTGCGGACCACGTGGCCGAACAATAGGACGATTCTAATTGGGCTTTTCGACGTGGTTGTCCGGTAGCAAAAAATCCGACAAAAAAGGCGACAAAAGGGGCTTAACCGGCGGACGAGCGGCGGGATGAGCACGAGCGAGGAGTATTCTTATGGTCGTGGACCAGTTCGGAAAGGGTTAACTCTCTATCTCGTTGCCGGAACGTGTAGCTGGCAAAAGGGGGTTTGGGGCGAGTGCCCCGGAGCGTGATGAAACTTTAAAGAGACACCGGTGCGCGAGAGCGACCGCCGACGCGACGCAGCGACGTGCTGCTCCTCGAGAGGCACAATTATGTTCGTCCGCGATAGCCGCCCTCGTTTCTCGAGAAACGATACAAGTTTACATTCATTCTTTAATTTTTTTTTTTTTAGAATTTTGGATTCTGTATTACAAATATAAGAGTTTAAAAATTTACATAATATCTATAAGATTAACTTTTAAATCGAGGAATGGATTTGCATGCGCATGTATTAATTCATGATTTGTTAATATTTTCTAACTGTTGAAATTTTTGAAGTAATATTTGCAGCAAAAATTTTATCTCACATATGATCGTAAAGTATAATTAAATTGTGAAAGAAAATAAAAGAACTAGCGCTGGTTGTCATCGGAGGAAGGCCAATTTCGTTCTACATTGCAAAACTCCTTGCGACGATTTGTACACTTAAGTATTGCATAAGAATTTCAAAAAAGGAGTGACAGAGAATGATTCATCGAGAATCTTGTAGGCAAACTTGAAGCCAATAGATTCTTTAAATTGAAATAAACTTCAATTCCGGGATTATTTTATCGGTTGCAAAATTAAAAATAGTTTTAATTATTCAAAACTTATAATAATAAATTTATATTTCTTCATTTAATAAATAGTATAATAAATTATCGTAATTCATGAACTAAAGACAATTGATCACTTATTATATAAATTATTGTTGAAAAAGTAATTAATATGTCAATAATGCCTTTTATTTGTAAAAAAAATACTTATATCTGTTATATTTATAAAAACAAAGAGAGAATTACAGCAATACATTTCTAGATCCATTTCAAACAGTACAATACTCTCTAAACTTCTCTCTTTTTATCTTTCTATAATGATATAATAATCGCGCCAACGTGTATATATTAAATATACAAACTGCGAACAAGACAAAAAAAAGTTAAAAACGAACAGCGTGATTTTCCAACTTCGTTTCGATGTCACATAAAAAAAACGCGAAGATATCCGCGTAGCACTTTCATATCCAGGGTGTCGCGTCGCCGAATGAGAACGCTCGCGCGTTAAACCCTTCGACGTACGACAATGTACTCCCCGACAAAAGGGGGTCAGAAGAACGGCGGGAGGGGAGACACGAGGGGCAGGTTCACCCCAATCCCCGAGCGGGCGGTTTAAATTCAAAAATCGAAATCCACCGATCTATTGTTCGTGTCCGTTCGACCAGGTTCGACATCACATGGCAGCCCCCTATAACTGTACTTTAAAATATCCTCTTCCACCCCTCTTTTGAACGAATCAACAATTCACCAAACCAGAGAGATTTCGAAACGGCACGATAGTTTCCTCGATGCACCTCTACTACGATCAGAAACCCTGACATATATTTTCTCGTTCTGATCGCGTTGCCAAATATCGGAATCTATGATACAAAAACCGAATGCAAAATTGGAACTTGAAATTATTTTGTGGCCGGATCACGTTACATATCTCTTTTCACGACACGATACAAATCAATCAATTGATTCTAATAAAACGCTCCAAAATTTTACTTTAATAATGAAATATGTAATAATATATAATCCAGAGAAAGAGAGACAGAAATTTACCGGAATTGACTGTGTTTGTGTCGGCGTCCACGGACTCAGTCTTCTGCTTCTTCGGAAGATCTTCCTTGACCTCATCCGGTGCTTCCGTCCGTCTTTTTGGCGTCGAGCTGGCGCTTGCCTTGAGGTCGATCGGACTTCCGGTATCCGGCCCCGGGCCCTGAGGCGCCGGCGGACTCTCCAGTCGGCCGCTTCTCTTGTTGATGGGCGCGGAGATGCTGGGCACCGAGTTCAGCTTCGAGTCCGGGTCGACGGTCTTCAGGGTGAGGGCATCCTCCGGATCGGAATCCTCCGGCGCGGCCGTCGCCGGTGGACTGTGGCAGCCCTGGAGGGTGCTCCGACAGTGGTTGACCTTGTGTTCGATGAACCGGACAATTTCTCCGAGGGGATAGGACGCCCTGCAGCCCCCGCATTGGACGGTGTCTGGGGAGGTGGTACTTTGCGAGGTTTCCGCTGTAACAGAGAGAGATATGTCTCGTTTAGATGCATGGGAATTTTTATTAAGCGAATGGCGAGTTAGTCTGATTATAAAGATGCACGCGCAGCATCGAGTTTGGCATACTTTCTGTTATTTAATTCTGATATACTTGATTGTAATATTGTCATAGTAATGTTAACTGTTCCTGAATTATTAATTGATATTGATTTTATAAAAATATAGAGCAATCGAAATTTATTGATGCACCTATTGATTTTCGAAAATAACGCTCTAGATATTCTTTTGTGTTTTTTATTTGCAAAAGAATGTAATAATACAATGTTTTTATCATTGTTATTTAGTTGGGAAATAATTTTCTCTACAGCAGAGCAATTATAAAGTTACGTTATTCGAGCGATGGATCTGTGGTGGTACACAATATTCAATTCTGTTGTATAATAAATAACTCATTAATGCAATTGTATCGCAAGAAAACTTAATTGTTGTTTCCCGACTCCGACTATTTTTTGTGAAAGCAACATCAGTATCGGTTTATTACTATCGATATGTACATGTTACAGATACCATTATATAATCAAGTGTAGACATATGTCTCGCGCATTATTCACAGCGGGGCATTAATCATCGCGATTTACGATACCTATTAACTGACTGCAGCCATAATCCCGTGATGAGATATCAAAACGAACGATTCTATGACCCGGTAGCCGTAAAATTTATGTGCGTATATGTGTATGATATAGTGATTAATTGAATTATAAAAATATAAAATTAGATCTATATTTTGAGCAACAAGTTTGAAAACATTCTTTGTGCCACGTCCTACTATTTTTTCATTTCATTTAAGAGATGATAAAAAATATATCAATATCACACATAAGTATATGTACGCATAAGTGATGGGATTCTTTTATCTATCTCCCTCCTTATCTATCTCCTGAAAAATTTCGGTTGTCCTTTTTTCACATTTTCATGATTCAATCTCCATCACTTCCTTTCGACGATAAATAGACCGCAGACGCGCGGTATTCGCCTAATCTGAGCGAGCAAACTTTCCTCGTAACAAACAGGACTAATTTCCTCTTACGCAACCGTTATAATTCACCGTCGTCCGAGGGGCAGAGGGCCCGAGGTCAGCCGCAGACGTAACAATTCACTTTTGAGTGTCCTTCAAGAGAAACTACAGAACTCCTCGCGATGTCTTATGTCCTTTCTCTCGTACGTTTTGCGCATTAACATAGAGATTGGCAGCGAGTTTCATACATCGATCTTTTCCCTCGTCGAGTTGAGTATCCGTATCTATCCGAATGGGGACGCCCAGGCTCGCGACGAAACAAGAAAAATCCTCCACCGTCTTGGCAGTCGTTTTTCCTACCCCCTTCCTCCCCCTTCATTCCTATCTCGCCCTTCGAGTTTCTCCCTTTGTCTCCGTTCTTGTTACGTATCTCTGTCTCACTTTCGTCGTCGCGTTTCTCGAGGGATCTCCACTTTTCTCTTTCGTGCGCTTCTTTTTTTTGCTTCCTTTACACCAACCCCTGTTTGTTTACCCCTGGCTGCTGCTATCTCCTTTTTCGTTCGTTTCTCGCCTTTCGTCGGTGCGCCGACGGCGTTCGATTCTTTCTGGGCGGAGCTCGCTTGACCATTGGCCAGGGCGCAAACTCGAGCACGTTTCAACCCTTTAGGAGTTGCGAGTTACACCCCGATCAGTGGGTTGAACTTGAGTTATAGTCAGCTTTCTCTCTCAGTTTATATAGCTATTATATAGCTATTTCATATACTCTCAATTATTCTTTATTTATTTTATAGTTATTTGTTTTTCTGTACATAAAATATCTTGACAATTTGTTGAATTTATATTGTAAAAATTTTTAGTTATAATTGCAATAGTAGCGTGAATATAAATTCTCTTGAATATAAAGATTCTTGGCACCTTATTTTGCGTGCATGCATTATTGCCGAACATGAGAATTTATTGAACATAAGATTACCCTCTGATCTATCATACTTGTAAATTTTCTCAACATTGTCTAAAAAACAGATAACTTCCTAATAGCATCGTAATAGCTCAAATGACGAATGTAACTCGGCAATATTCCATAACAAATCGTTGATATCGCGTTTCGATGTATCTTCTCGACAACAAGCCAAGAAAATATATTTCTATTTCCAAGCTATGAAAATATTTTCGTGGGTCCAAGTGTATCGAGAGATTCCGATAAGAATCTATTTCTTGGCCCTTTACTATTCAAAATCGGTCCAGTCGAGCCGTGAAGCTTTTTTTCACGCCTCCTATCTGCAACTTCTCGTTTTTCACCGGAAGAATGACGGTAGCAGGAAGCAAGATAAGTTTCGCAAAGTCTCGGTGTGTCGAGAGTCGTGTTCGGACGAGACAATTGCGCCTCGACGACATCCCGCATTCTTCGTAGGAACGCGAGATTTTAATCGCGTTTGTCCGAGATCGTCGTTGACATTCGAATGCGAGAGAAAGAAGGGAGCGAAATAACGATGGTAAAAATCCGATAAAATTTTCGATAAAAACTCCGAAGGTAAGGCGAGGCGAGGCGACGTCTGGCCACGTCTCGGTTTGTGGTTCTGTTGCCGGTGAAAAAAAGGAAATCGGTCGAGCTGGATGTACGACGAGCGAGAAGAGGTTGAGCGAGAGCGAAAGGAAGAAACGGTGAGTCGCCTGAATGGACGGGCCTCTCTCGGGATCCGTTATTCGCCTACGATTCAAAAGCGCTCGGTTAGAAACAAGAGACGCGCGACCGGTCGTTAGCGACAATGGGCTTTTGTTTTTTCGGGGGCAGATGTTGGACCAAAACTGTCGGCAGCGTAGAGAACCCTCCGCAACCCCTGCGCGAGGACCGGCATCAGCCTCGCGAGCTTAAGGTGAGCGAAGGAGGAAGAACGGGGTAGACACGTGTCTCTTCGCCACTTCATAAATCACCCGCCTATTTATCCGCGTGCGTCTTCTGGCCCCGTTTAGTGTTCTTTTTTACGCGATGTGGCCCACAGGGTGTTTTAGTTATATTGCATTTCTTTGGAATCTGTAAATGTTACCACTAGCTCTTTTTCTCTTCTCTCTCTCTCTCTCTCTCTCTCTCTCTTTAGAAATTGTTCTAGAACGATAACATACCGATAATATTAAAAACTGCAATATATGTGCACATATTATTAAAGATACAAACATAAAATTCGGGAAAAATGATATAGGAAACTTATAAATTATTATAACTTCTTCGCGTTAAAATTTATGCTTATATATACACAGGAAACAATTATGGAACAGAACTTGATATTAATATTAAGAATTCTAGATAATTTATAGTGCATTAATTTATAAATATTCAACAAATACTTTGAAAAATATATATTTTTAAATAGTTATCTTACTACACAACAAAATGTTCATTAATAGAATAAAATATTTCACGTCAAAAAATAGGAAGCAAATTTTATTATCAGTTATCATTATCAGTATGCGGAAATATCAGCTTGCGTACATTTACGACGCGAAGCACATTTCCGATTTTGATGACGACAATTACTTGCCGCATAAAAATGAATGCGGTTGCATCTGGACGAATCACGTATATATACGAGAAAGGAGGGAGGATGTGAATTGCCGGGAAAGAAGATAACGTAAAAATATAATATTGCCCGGCGAATCTAAGTTGGATTGCTTACAAATTGGCCTATACATCCGTAATGTTGCGATCACCAAGCCCGGTGGCCCCTCTATTGCGGGCGTCCTTGTAATTTCCATCTACGAGTGGGAAGGACGCGTACCGGAATCTCTGCGGGAAATGTTCCGAGGTTATTAGTTTTCCACATTAATTTTCCTTCTTATGTCCTTAGTAAGAGATACGCCAGACCAATCGGAGAATCGATTCTCAGCGATAGTTCGCGTACGACGCTATCAATTGTTTAATGTCCAACGCGAATAAATCTGATTCTTCAAAATCAATCTAGTTCAAATGAAAATCAAATTTTATGATTGGCGATACTGGTTGATATATTTTTTTTCAAGATGGATTTAAATCGTGATCTTATCATTTACATATCTATGCCGTATGTAATATTATTACATATTAATTCGTTAAATGCAGTAAAAAAATTATCTCTTTAATTTAGAGTTAAAAGTTGAATTTAAATTTGTTCCTAAAAATTTAATGTCTTATTGCTATAATTGTAAAGACCACATTCAATGTAGGCCATAATATGCCGTAATGTCGAATCGTATAGCCCAACGTTTAATTGTCTCCAATTTCGCGATACGAATAATTAAAGCGTTAATGATAATTCTTTACAATATGTTTGACCGTCGATGGGAAACCACATTCGTTACACAATTCGCCGTTTTTCCACGACATTTTCGTTTAGCTCCACGCTGTGCACATCGCCTGCACACAGAGGAGACGGGCGAAGATATCCCGAGGCGGTATCCTTGTTAGGACATCCGTCCTGTCAAAACGTCCAGAGGACACATCGGAGCAATTGAATTACGATCATCCCCAGGGCGAGTTCCGACCGTAACCAATAATTCCATTATCCATTAGTATTGGGTCGCGGCAATTTCCTTCGCCGACCGAGGAAGGCATCGGACGCCACCGCGCGCCGTCGCCGCCGCGACGTATGTACGTGGCAACCGATCTTCCGGCGAAATACAGGAGACTGATCGGAAAACGGATAGATTCCCGGCACACGTTCGTATCGACGCGCGCGAGATGGACAGATCCGTGACGCGATCGCAAATATCATTTTATCCATAATAGAACGTCGTCGCGTCATTTATCGGCGCCTGGCACGTCATACTTTCGCTGTTATCTAAAAATGATTCCTTCTATCACAATTTTCTGTAATTCGATATAATACAGTGGTACATTCGTTTCTTTGCGCTAATAATCTATGAAATCCTTCGAATCAATTCGTAAAAAGCATAAAGTATAACAATGTTTTATAACGGTAGGGCAAATTGAAGATCCGCGCTAAATCCAAGCGTGAAATTGAAATCTTAAACATCTCTTCATCATGTTCAATCAGTCGTGATAACATTCATTGTGGAAACCACTCTCTATAAAAAAATACCGTCCCAAATTATGTACCTCCAGTACCTCGGTAGCAAAATCATATTCACGTAACTCTTTGCGACTCTTCATCGCAGGTTATCTGGTTATCGCCGCTGTATTTATGTCTTGCGCAAATCGCGCCTGATAAGAGATAACATCGCTTGCTTAGAAACTGCCGACTTTGCTCGTATCGGCCATAATTACCTTTGTGCGCCATTACCCGTCGTCCTGCGTCAGTTATTGCGTTACGTATCCGAATATTACTTGTCTGGGCCAAATTCACTGTCGGAGCCGATCGTGAGGATCGACAGCGCGATCGCGAATTCGATTGAACGCGACGCGAAATCGCCGTCCTAGCGGGGCCCTTCGTCCTCGCGAGCGACGCTTTCGTTTGATTTTCGGGGGACGCGAATCGATTCTCATTGCCGTGCACAAGGTCTCATTTCGCCCATGCTCGGATGCTGACTGGAGCATCGGGACGCGTATAAGGCCGGCCAAGGGCCCCAACAGGATATCAGAAGAATAGAAAGGACCTACCGGCATGCGCACCGATGGAGGGGGCAATTTTTATATACGAACCCCCACTTTATATTCTGTCGTCCTCTTTTTCTCTTTCCTTCTCTTCCATTTTCTCTCTCCGCCCTTTCCCTCTTTCTTTCTCTCCGAGAACACCCTTCGTCGTCGGGTTTTTCTCGCGGGGTTGAAGAGTTTTTCGAGTTAACCCCGACATGTTCCACTACCGTGCGTTTCGTTCGGCTCCGTACAAAGGATCCAAAATGGCGCTTAGTGCGTAGGTCGTTTTTTCTCTCGTACAGGGCCTTTCCACCCTGTCGCGTGTGTGTGCACGTAGTGAAAAAACAAGACCGACTAGAATCCGTTTGTGAGCGAGCTAGATTCGAGAAAGACCAATGGTAAGATCTGAAGGTCCATCGACCTCGCTCTCACAATTGGATCGATTTTTTTATTTCGCCGTACGTTTCCTCAAATTTCTTTAGCTACCTTTTTCGATCTAAGGGCCTCCCCCCGTATCTTCGATATCACAAACGGTACCTCTAACGGGTTTTCTCTTTTCAAGCGAAAATAGAGGCTGAACGTTTTTTTAAACCGTCATTGACCTCGTTCTGAAGAGTGAGGGTGCGTTAAACTGGATGACCACACAGGTAATTTTCCGAGATTTCGAGTTGTGTCTCATAAATTTTTTATAGAATGTTGATTTAAACTTCATTTTAAGAATGGTAATATTGAGATGAAGCAAATGAAAATAATCTTTTTGTACTCAAAATAACATTCCGAATAGAGTCTATAATTATGTCTTGTAAATATTGCAGAATATTAAGAAAGAAGGACTAAGAAGCACTAAGTTAGTACTTGCTATTTTATCCTTACTAATCCCGTTCTTAAGAATGGCGATATTAAAATATGCATGAATGTAAATTATTTTCTTGGATTCTAACGATATCGAGATAAATGCTGCAATTACATTACGTGAATATCTAATTTAGGGATGTCTAATTTAGGGTACATAACAAATATGTTGATTTCGTTCTCTTAAAAACAATAGAGTACGTAAAAATCTGTTATGACTGTTAAATACTCTCTTGGATTTAAAATTGCACATTCAGACTAATTTTCTTTTACACCTCTCATATATAAAATGAATTATGAATTATTTAGAACCAGCATGTAATCAATTTAATACTTAATAAAGCAAAAAATATAGAAGGGGTTTGATAATAACCTCGCCACATATTGTCATTCGAAATTCTTCCTGCCATGATTCACCCCATAGGGTAAACCTCTTTTATGTTCCACACATCGCACGAACTCTTACAGAACAGTGCTGTCCTCGGAAAGTGGAACGTATCGCCAAGACGTACCAAAATATCAGCTCGATCTCAAGCCGAGCGCCGCGCTACGAGAATGTGTCCCGAACAAACGGGTGAAATCAGTGACCACATTGGATATCAGAAAGGCCTCGGGGAGATCGGAGCCGCTAGAAAACTACGTTCCACTGTTCCGCGCTCGGCGGCCAGACGGTTATGAGAAATATGAAATCTGGTTCTCACGGATTCTGAATGGGGTACAGGCCGTCTCTCTCCCGCGTAGACGCTCGTCATCTCGCTCGCACTCGCGATCCATCGCTCCACATGCGTATCGTGGGAGGATCTCGAGACCCGCGGGTCGCCCTTTGTGAGCCCGCCAGCAGGACATTGTCCATTGAGAGAACGGGCAAACAGGTCCTAGAGAGAGAGTTGACCTGTCCCTCCCGTCCCTTTCATTTCGCGCTCCTTTCAAGAAAAACCCCTTTCCCCGATTTCTCGATCAAAATAAATCATATAGGCATACAGTTATGTGTATCCGCGAACATACAGCTGCGTCGCTTCTTGACATGCGGCAGCTTGGACATCGCGGATTTCGTATATGCGCGTCTGCCCTCGTCCCGTCGTGCCCCCGCCGTGTTTTCCAGGGTATTTCTCAGGCGCGCATGGCCATGCGTGGCCTGGCCTTTAATGCGGCGCGCGATGCGTTTCACCTTTCGTGAGACTCAGCTTCGACGTTTCTCGCATCTCCGTGGACTCCTGGGAACTTCGTCGCCGTCGCGTCTCCAATCGCCGCCGCAATCGTTTTCACAACTCTGTGCCGCGGCTTTATGGCAGACGTGGGAAGACGACCGGCGATACAGAACGAAAAAATTCCGCGATTTCGGTTTCAAAATTCCGCACGTTTTCATTTCAGCGCTTATACAAACGGGTGATAATGATTGATTAAGAAGAAATCATTAAGGATATTATATGATATTATTACGCATTTTTATTTTTTAATCATACACAGGAGGTCTGGGTTTATTTTAAATTAATCTGATAAATTAATATATTATGTCAAGTAGAATTTGCGTCGGGAATAATCGTTAAAATCCGATAGGCCGGTGCTGACGTGACACCGCGTGACACCCCATTCAACTATAGGACCGCGGACACGTTTTTCGTCCAATGATGATGAAACCACGCACCAATGGTTCGCTTCCATGTTGGCCCACCGTGCTTGACAATGACGGAAAAACAAACGGCGGGCAACGAGAGCGGCAACGAGGATCGCCAATGGGAAACGCGACGGAACGCAAAGCGCGCAAAGCCGCGCGCCGTGGCTTTGTATTGTCCGGCACTGTGGTTTCTCCCTTTTCCTCTCCCACATCCTCTCTCATCTCTGCTTTCTCTCTTGCTCTTGCTGGTTAATTAGAAAGTTCCGCGGTAAAGAGACGAAAGAGGGAAGCAGGGAGGGGGCGGCGGGCGTAGGGAACGGCGGAGGCTGGGGTTTCGTTGTTACATTATTCAAAACGTTCCCCCCCGCGACGAAACTCCGCACTGCGCTACCGCAAAACATCCGAATGCGAACTTTTGACAACGCGCGAAGTGCCGAAGCGTGTCACGCGAAATAATTAACGATCGCGCGAGTTTTCTCGGGCGAGAATTAATGCGCGCGTGGTTCGCGAAGCTCACCGTAATTTTCGAATTGTGCGTCTCCGACGCGTCGTCGCGTGGAGATGCTATAGTTGCGAACGCCATACAACGACCGCCTCGATACGCGAAGTGCAAATTTATTCGCGGCACGACACTTCGCGACTGACGAACGAATTTTGTTTGTAACTTTCCGTACCCGCGATTACTAGATCAAAATTACTATATATTATTTATTTTAACGCTGTGAAACCATATTACTTCTTCAGAAAG